ACGATAATGTACTTCTAAGGTTGTTCTTTTTATTGTGTATTTTAAAATCAAATAAAATTTAAGTAATTGTTTGGTTGGAGTTATATTTGATATTAGAAAAAAAAAGGGGGGGGGGGGGGGGGGGGGGGGTAATAGGTTAAATCGAAACCTGTTATAACCAAAAAAAAAAATGGATAATCCAAAACTAAACTGGTCATATCGGATATCGAACCGAAGCCCAGTGGCCCATGTTAGGTTTTGTCTCAAGGTCCCAGGTAGGCATGCACAAAAAAACCGGTTCAAGATCCGAACCGGTCAAAGAACCGGTAAACCGGTTTACGCTGAAGCGGTCCACAGTGAACCGAACCGGTTTGAGAACCGAACCACCGGTTTACACCCATTCGAGATTTTAGTCGTTGAAACCGGTTTATATCGTGTGAACCGGTTTGGAACCGGTATGGAACCGAACCGAACCGGTTTAGAACCGGTGTAACCGGTTTAGATAGGTTCGACTAATTTTTTGAGTGAATCGGTTTGAACCGAACCGGTTTGAGGCTGAACCGGTTTTGCTTGGCTAGGGAGTGAACCGAACCGGTTTAAAGAACCGGTTCGGTTTGAAAAATGAACCAGTTTGTGCATGCCTAATCCCAGGATCCAACCCTCCAACATAGGAGTTACTAAGCCACTTGTTGGCTGCGACTCTCTGAGCATAAGCACTTAAGCAGTGGTAATAGTATATACATTTTCTACGTTTACTATAAAGTATAAAGTTAAAAACAACATTTTACTTTTCTAGAATATGATTTCTCTTCAAAAATATACACACCAAATATATCAAGTATTGTTTACACTTTAAAGCTTATGATGGGTTTTTTTGTACATATTGAACAATGTATTGATTCGTTTAAATGTTGTCTTCTCATTGAAGATATTGTACACGACATTCTTCCCAAATAACAACTTGATCACGCCGAGATACTGTCAATCCAAAAAGATTCAATTCTCAAGCTTTATCGATTCGAGGTTATTTTCAAACAGGGGTTCATATAGTATCTTCCAAAACCCAAAATCATGGCCATCAAACTTTTTCATCTTAACATTCTCGTCTTCCTCCATAAACATTATATCAATTGTTAGACATTCAAACAATAATCACACATATAAAAGATACATTAAAACTAAACAATACAAAAGATTTATGTGGTTCACACGAGTAAAATAATCTTGCTACCTCCCTAGGCAAACTAGAGATATTTATTATTGATCTTGAGGGTGAATTTTAGATATAAATAGAGATACATAAAACTATATTTAAATAATGCACGACACTAACACATTATCACCCTGGTTGGGTCTTTATATTATTGAGCTTCACTATTTTCCATGTGAGATACCTTTGACTATCAACACTCAACATATTTGTCTCTTGATTATGTCGATATGTCCTTTTATACTATTTGTACATTTAAATCTTAAAAGATTAAAAGGGATGGAAGCTTTGGGACCTTATCACATTTTCCATTATAAAGATAGAATTCTTTGGCGTCGATATAATCATGGTAGATCCCTAAATAGAAATTAGGGTTCTTGTACTTCATGGTTGTTGGGGATAATGAGAATTGGTTGAAGGTTGCATAATCCTGATGTTTGTGGTAGTATAGGAAGTGTAGAAGTTCTACAAAGAGATATGGGAGTCGTTGGAAGTTGGAACAAGGTTCATTGGGGTCTTGGGGAGACCATGGATTCGAGAAATCCCCAAACATAGTTTATATAATATTGCTTTTCTAATTGAATTTTATGGTGTTATAATTTATTTTAATTTTGTTTTTACTAATAATATAACAACAATAGATAAATAAAAATTTGCTCTTAAATTAATACATTTAACCAAAGAATCTTTGGCCTAGCGGTAAGGAGTAACTCTCTCAAATGAGAGGTCATGGATTCAAGTCTTTTTAGGAGACATAGTTGGTATTTAGGATTAGATTAGAAGTAGGATAGTTTGTCGATTAAAAAATAAATCATACATTTAACCATTATATTAATTGGAAAATGTCACTGTAGCCCATTAAACTTATTGTCTTTTACTCCATTTGGTCACTAACGTTTTTTTTTTCTCGCAATAGGTCATTAAACTTACAATTTACCTGCCTATTAAGTCATTTTCGTTAGTTTTTAACAGATTCTTGTTAAATCAGTTTTTCAAAATTACATTACATATCCCTATGTATTCAAATTCTTTCGTATTTGGTCCTAATCCAACCTCACACATACAATGAATCTCTCCTACAACTCCAATCTCAAACCCCACATTCGGCGTTATTGTTCACTATTCATTCTATTATTATTATATTTTTATATTTTTTAAAAAAAATTGATAGCTTTTGAATAGATAACGTTCTTAGAACCATTGTACTTTTTATTAAGGATGAGCAACGGAACCGGGTATCCGCTTTCGGAACCGGAACCGTCTCGGAACCGCTGGTTCCGGAACCAAAACCACCTTAAGCAATTCCAATTCTGGTTCTTATTTTTTCGGAATCGCTACCCACTGGATACCCTGAAACCGGTTATATATATATATATATATATATATATATATATATATATATATATATATATATATATATGATTGGAAAATATTTTAACACACCTTTATTAAAATCAATATCATAGTTGTCATATTTTTGGTTTTATAATAACTATTCACAATAGATACCATATAATGTTGGTATTTATTAAAAACACAATGGAAAATAATAAGATACAAAATCAAGGCTCTTGGACTATGTTTTTTAGATAAACATAGATGTGAATCACATGCCTTTTTGTTATTGGAGTTTTATATTGATAGTGTATTAAAATATTTTAAGCCGACTGTTATTTTTTTTTTTTGCTCTCTACCCTCGAGTACATAAGCTTAAACCACCTAATATGATATGAATGATATCTTATATTTGATAATTTGTCGACCTATTATTTTATCTAGTTATTTTTTCAATAAAAAGTTTTTTTAGAAAAATTAGAAAACGGGTACTCGGAACCGGAACCGGAACCGGTGCCGGTGGTTCCGGTTTCGGTTCCAATACTTCAGGAACCGGCGGTTCCAGTTCTGATTCCGTCGAATTTAGTCAGGTACCCGCCTATGCTCATCCTTACTTTTTATGGCCAAATTACGCTTGCTTTTCTTAATAATACTGTAAGGATATGTGTTATTATGATATGAAAAATGGAGTGGAGAAAAATGTAGACATCCACATTGATGTTGATGATGGTTCCTTCGTCACCACCAATTTTTGAATAATCTAAATTTAGTCAGGTACCCGCCTAGTTTCCTTCCTACTTTTTATCTCTATGAATTTTCTCTTAGAATCGAGTTAGCGAAACCGATCACTACATTTAATTAGAGACCTTTAAATGTCAATTTCTTCAGTTATATGTTCTGATTTCTTTATTTTTTTTACAATGTCAATTTCTTAAGTTAGCGAAATCTTGCACATATATGTATCTCCAAAAAGCATTAAATATATTGACAACCACAAGATTGAGATATATATCGAAAAATCCAAAAATATTAGTGAATAAAGAAAATAGGTAAAACTCACACCCCCAAAACTACCTAACAAATTTTTATTAAATAACACGAAATGCCGTCGAAGATGGAAGGGTCATCAGAGAAGATGGATGTTACCATAATTGAAATGGAGAAGCGTGTATGCGGTTGGATTAGGACCAAATACGAAATAATTTGAAAACATAGGGACCATCAAAGTAATTTTGAAAAACTGATTTAATATGGATATGTTAAAAACCAACGAAAATACCTTAATAGGCATGTAAATTGTAAGTTTAATAACCAAACCTATAATTTTGAATTTAAATATACCATTTTTGAAAAACAAAAGGGTTAAAAATAGTGTTCTTAAAAAAAACAATTGCATTCTTCAATCATAAGACAAAAATGGAGTACCAATTACAAAGGCAAAGCTTGACAGGGCATAGGGTTTTGAGCCTCTCTTTCTTTAACTTTACCTTTTTCTTTTTCTTTTTCTTTTGTTGGGTTTCATTCCCACTTTTTGACTTTAATCTGATCAGGATCACTAGTATTTTTTGATCATTGAGCTTTTTAGTTTTTACACACCTACATTTCAAAAAACAATAACAAAATGCTTCTTCTTTATCGAAATTTTATTATCCGATTTTCACTAGAATGAACTTACAGAGTTTAACTCTAAAGTTTCATGTATTCATACCAAGCAGATGTGTAAGTTTGTACAATTCAAATCTAAAATTAATTTCATTATAAATAAACTGTTTAAATGTCAAATAATCTTCATTAGACCACATTAACGGTGGTATAGTAAAATAGTAAATAATTGCAGTCAAGTGAGATGGAGCATGAGTGATGTCTTTGTTCACATATAAAACGGATTTAGAATTTGCATTCAAATTTTGTTTTCGGATGTAGGTTTCAAAATATAATAAAAAAGTACTACTTTAAATAATATTTAAATGATTGTTTGTTCATTTATATGTGGAATACTTTACAATCTTCATTTTGCATTGGTGTCCTACATTCCTTATTTATTGAACTCATAGTTATATTTGAAATCCATACATTGAATATAAACTTAAATTTGACATGTGTCTTACATACATATATTCAAATAAAATACACAATTAAGCTATTTATTATTATAACAAAAATATTCAATACAAATTTTGTAATCTTTGAACAATTAGACGTTTATACAAGTAGCGTTGGTTGAAATGTAAATATGTAATCTTACAATAACTTATAAATTTTGAAATCAGCTAGATATAGATAATAGAATCATTGGTTGTAGGTCATATTTATTATCAGAGTCTGGTGAATGTTATTCATTGAAAGCATGATATATAGAGAACCAATTAACCAACCAATTTTAAGATACATTAACATAAACCATGTGTTATTATTACACAATGAAATACAACAAAAGACAAGTTTTTTTTTTTTTTTTTTTTAATTTTTTTGGGTTTCAGTAGAGCCCAAGCATACTCCTCGCAATCGAATGCGATCCACTACTCGGTCTACTCTTCCCGGTCGCAATTCCGATTCCGCCCCTTCGACTTCCGCTCAACGGTGCCAAATAGAATCGTAAAAGCCCATTCTCAATATGATTTGGTGAATACCTCGCACTCCGATTCCGTTCCAGACCTCCATTCCCATTCCCATTCCCATTCCCGATTCCAATTCCAAACCCTTGTTCATTTCCAATCATGTTAAAGTTTGATTTCCTCATTGAAGAGCTTCTCCAGCTCACACTGCTATGGCTTCTGAAATCTGTCCTGTTAATTCCGCCATTATTGACTTCGTTAATATTATTATTACTATTGACTTCTCTCCTTGGATCTTGCCATGATTCTGAGTAAGATCTTCCTACCCCACTAACAGTACTGCACCTATCTTCATCGTCGTCCTTATTCCGCCGGTGGATGAACCCCCATAACTTCCACCGCCACCTCCGTGGTTTCTTTGTCTCTTTCTTCTCTTCACCAATTGGAATCCGTAGTTCAAATGTTTCAGAAAAGTCGTCGCGTAATGAATTTGAGTTTGAAACTCTTGGAGGTTCGAACTTTGGGATAGTTGCAGGGTTGTAATCGATGGTGGTAGGTGAGACTTTGGCGTTTGAAACCACCGGAGTTACTTTTGGTTCATCCAGCTCTGCAACGACGGCGGCGGCCATTTTGCGAATGGAGTTTGACCGGTCGAGGCTCTTTCTTCTTTTGGAGGAAGAATCTAAGTAATATTCTCGGGTTTGGATTGACCCGCCAGGGATGTTATCGTCCGCCATTGGAGGGTGTTCGACGGGGATTTGTGTATCACAACGTGGCACGTGGACAACGGGAACGTCTTCCACCATGGGAGGCAGTCGTGGGAAGGTTCTACCGATTAAGTATCCGTCCCATGAAGCCCTAGGTTCGTCGAAAGAGTACCTCGGGTCGTCAAACGAGATTCGACCCGCATCCAGCGAAAACCTCGGGTCTGTGTCGCACGATCTCCGGCCGAATCCGTAATCGGCGATTTCTGACTGAGTTTCACGGTATTGACGCGAAATCGGTTTCTTCGTTGGTAATGCAGACGATAGATTGACGCCATTAACTCCGGCGGCACTCTTCTTCTGCTTTCTCCTCCATTTATGCCATTTTTTGCTCAAAACCGACGCCGCTGACCACAAATTTGACAGTGAATGCTTTTTTGATTGTGAATCGAGATCTATGTGATCCTTCATTGGCTTCAAGACATCTACCGCAACCTCCTCTTTTTCTTCGATTACATCGACAATGTTATTTACTAAATCATTCATGCTTCTCACCTCTAGTTCTTCGGTAACCCTAATTTCGTCGCCATTGACCTCGTCCTCATCTTCATTGTGGACTTGATCTTCTTCATGCTCTTCTTCTTCGTCTTCTCTGTTGGTTTCGAGAACGATTCCATTGTTGCCTAGATTTTGTTGTGAATACGAGAGTCTGGGCTTGTTGTCGTCATGGATGGAGAAGAGTGACGACAGAGTATTCCGTCCCCTCACGTCGCAGGATTTCCGTTGAGGCTCATAAACACAAGCCGAAATTCCTAGTCCGTCGTTTTTCGAGGCGGAGAAAGACTTCGTGCGTCGGAGCTCCGGGAAAAACGAATTTCTCGATATCTGCGCTCCCGCTGCCGTCGTCTTGTTTTTGTTTGCTTCCGAGGAAGACGGGCCTCTAAAAATGGACTTAATTGCTGCAGCAGCGGTGGATGAGGAGGTGGAGTTACGGCGGGAAGAGGAAGAAGCTGCGGCGGCGTTTGCCGATTGGTCTAGAGTAGTGAGACGCTCGCAGAGACATGATGGACAGAAACCAGTGAAGTTCTCGTCAGGATGACGGTCGCAGCTGAAGGATGAGCGTGGTGGCTGCAGCGGTAGTGCCTGTAGTGGTTGGTCGGTTGTAGGATTCATGACAGGCGGCGGCGGTGGTGGTGATGGCGTGCTGCAGTGCACACTCTGCTCATGTTAGCAACAGTGAAAGAGTTGTAGTGTTTAATGTGAGAATGAAAGCGTTTGCGTTTTCGAGAATTTTTCCCAACGGACAGTGAACTGTGAAGGGATTGAGAGAGACAATTGAATTAATTTATCTTTATTTTGATTTTTTTATCGAATAAATAACACTCGCTTTTTCCATTGGATACTTTGCTTCATCACGAACCTCTTGTTTTTAATTAAGTAATTACTTAATTAACTCTTATTAGGTTTATGCATTTCATTAACGAATAATAAAATCTAAAAATATTACTTGCATGTGATAATTTATACTACATTTTTATAATACGTGAGTGGGACCATAAAATTTTCGATTTATCTTTGACCAATTACCGATAATTATGTGTTGAGTAATTAGTAATTACATGAATCGTGTTCGTCCAAGTGTCAAAATAAATGTTTATTTCTTATTTTTAAAAATTAATTTCAACCCTCACTCCTTTGTTTAAAACATGTATGTTACTTTAAATTTGCACCTTGGATCCTTTACCAGAAACCAGAAATAAAATAACTATATTATCTTCACTGTTTTACTAGGTTATAACTTATGGAAACCACGGTCGGTAAGATTAAAAATTTTATATAGACAAAAAAAGTTAACTATTAAAAATTTTATCATGGAAAAAAATATCATAAATGACTATTAGATAAAACTAAAAGTTGTTTTATTAGTCTTTTAAAGCATTACTGTCCTAAAAGTTAAATCGTATTTTAGAAATTAAGATCCAATTAAAAAAATAAAAATAAAATTAAAAATTGAAAATTCCTTATAAATACTTCTCATTTTCGAATAGTTATGTTATAAATACTTACCATTTTCAAATATTTATGTTACCAAAAAAAAACGGATATTTGAAAGATTTTTACCAATTACTAAAAAAAATTGAAAATTAATAATTCTTTAAAAATTGTCACGTGTCAATTAGTCTACCTAAAAAGGGGACACGTGGCATTTAGACGTTTTGTTTATTAGAGGAGGTAGATTTTAATTTAATTATAATTTAATTTGTATTTGAAATAAAAATAAAAAAAGCAATCTCAACCTCACTCCAACCTAAAATCCGAACCAACCAGGGGCGGACACATTGTTTCATAGTAGGTATGACATTAAATAAAATAGTAGTGGCATAAGAGTAAAAAATTCAAGTTTTTTTTTTTGTACTGTGTATATGAAAGTCAAATGTTGTCGGTACCACTGTGGGACACCATATAAAACTGCCAATGATCCTAACTAATACTATTCCTATTCTTTTTCTCTAATCAACTCACAAAAGCATCAGTGACACCACAACTGCCTTCCCACAACCATTGGATCACCATTGTCGGACCACCACCGTCGACTACCACTCTTTTCTCTTAGAAACACCGTCTACAACCCTCCTTCTTCTCTTTGAGTTTTAGGTCGACTTTAAGAAATATCGTCTAATGGATAACAACCATCATCTTTCTCTTTCTTCTTCCTCATTCTTCGTTCTTAGGTTTCTTTAAGGTTTTGTGCACCATTTTGTCTCAGATCGAAGATGCAGAGTGGTTGATGGTCGTCGGAGGTATTGATTCGCTGGAGCTTGCAAATCTCGAATTGGTGGTTCGTTGGACTCGCAAATCTGGAGACGAAGGTGGTAGTTCTTCAGAGCTCACGAATCTGGAGGCGATCGACGTGCACCGTTTTGTCTCAGACGTGAATTGTTTCGAACCTTCATCGTGTCTGAAACACCTCCATTTTTTCAGATCGTCGTCTCCTGGGTTTTGAACAATAGTTGTCGCCTAGTATTTCGAACGTCGCCTAGGGGTTTAAACCACCGCCTAGGGTTTCAGATCAAGCTCCATCATCTATTTGGTGTTGATTACAGGTTTGGTTTGGTTTGGTTTAGTTAGGTTCCAATATAAACTTTTTGGTTTTATTTAGGTGATGATTGGTAGTGAGTTAGGAGGTATTGGCGGTGATAGGTGGAGGTATCGAAGTTTAGAAAGTGGATAGGGAAGATATATATATATATATATATATATATATATATATATATATATATAAAGAGAGAGAGAGATGGAAAGAAGTGGTGGTTTCTGGGTAGTAGACGATGAATGGTGGTTTTCGGTGGCGGTGGATGATGGTTTATGGTGGCGTTGGATGGTGGTTACTAGGAAGTTCTTGAAATATAGAGGACGAAATGTGCCCCCTTTTTACGATATAAAAGACGGTCCAAGTTAATTTTTTGAAAATAAGGACTAAACATGTCTTTTTGCACCTGCACGATAGACAATTCATGTAATTTACTCTTATGTGTTATAGCATTTTTAGTGACTGTTTTTTATAATTAATTTTTTTAATAATGGTATTGGAAAATGTTGTGTTTGAGTTTTTTATTTACTATTTATTATATATTGAATGAATAATTTAATTTTATATTTTGAATATTTAAAATTTTTTCTTTATCATATTTCATTTTCCTTTATTAACTATATTTTGCTTTTAAATGATTGTTATTTTTTATTAATTAATTATTAAGTATTTAAAAATATTTTATTTATGAATTTTAAATTTAATAAGGATTATATAATTTTTTCAATGTTTTTATTTTATATTATAACATAATAACTTTTTGTATTTTATGTATGTAAAGAAAAAATACATCATAGTCGTATTTATAATTTTGTATGTTTGTTGCATTTTCTGTCTATAAAAGGGTATTATTTGCGTTTGAAAGAAAACATCATCCTCTATACATAACGATCATTTACATATAATCACATTATCTTATACATTTCTTTTACAAACTTTTCAAAGGATATATTGTAACATATTGATTTGCGAATGATAAATGTAATATATTCTTTTTGAAACAATATATTTTTGTATTTTTTAATTGTTTAAATATTAATGAATAGTGATAATATTTATTAAAATATGACGAGTGTCTAAAAATGAGTAATTAAATGATGAGGTTTTGTATGATATTTAGATATATGTGAATAAATTAGTTAGATTTATTAAAAAAAACTATCAGAAAAGATTAACTATTAGATATGTATTTTAATTAGATATTAAAATTAGTGGTATAATAAGATGACAATATTTTTGAGTTATAGCATAGGTCGATCATTATATTTGCTCTTCCTCATCTCGCATTACGGAAGGCAATGAGGATTGTTGATAATCCTAGTCTCATATTCAATTATAAAATTTTATCCAACATGCGGTCTCATCAAGTTAGGTATCCTATTAGAAATACTCATCGGGTTTGCGGGTATACATATGGGAATCAGGTACCCCAATTATGGTCTTAATAGCTTAAACTTATTCGTTGGAATTTTCATTACCTAAACCATATTGCAACTGTGTCCAAAAATAATTTGAAATTTTTAAATGATTTCTAACTACATCAACAAGTTTAATGTAATGTTAGGTGTATTTTATATACCAATTTTGAACATCTAATTTCGTATTTTCATTGAATTTTAGTTCTTAATTTTTGCATTTAGTTAATAATAGGGGACCTTGCATGTTTTGTTTAGAATGTTTGATACTTCACAATTGTTGAATTATTTTGTAAGCATTAAGGGTATACGTAGAAAAAGAAGTTGTGGAGGTGAGCACAAATCATGGAGCAATGTAGCTTTTGAGCACAAAGAAGAGAAGATGGACCAGATGAGTTGCGGAAGGAAGCTTAAAGACATAGTCCAAAGTCGTTGCGTTTCATCATGCAAAATACACTTGAAATGCGACCCATTTTAAATTGACATGGACCATGTTTGACCTTTTATCTCACATTTGGGCAACACACTTTTGTCGTGTGTCAAAAAAACACGGTCATGTTTTTTAGGCTAGGGCACTTTCTTTCATTTTGACATTTTTTGGACCCAACATGCAAAATTTGTAACACTCGATTATCAGGTATCTTTCAGTTTGGTCCAAAAAATTTAAAAGTTTGCATTTTGGTCCCTGATACGCTAAGTGTAACTTGGAGTATGCATAGCGTACTCTCCTTAAGTTGGACACATGGATCTTTGAGTACGTTGGGCATACCTCAGCGTACGTTGGGCGTACTCACTTATACCATAAACCCTAATTTTTAGTGTTTGGCCCCTACTTAAGCAACATTATGGACCTTGAGGCTACCCCTTCATCAACCTCCTTACCCTAAAAAGATCCCTATGAAACCCTAGCCTCCATTTGAGTTTTATGGAGCCTTTATTGTGATATTGTGGTGTTTTTGGGTACCTTGAAAAAGAAGCTTGGTGGTGAAGCTTTGGTTGAGTTGGAGCTTAAAGATCCAGAACCTTCAACATCGTAGAAAGCCTCAGAAGGTATAAAGCTCAAGACTTTATGACTCCTTAGTGTAGATCTTGTATGTGGATAAAATCTTATGTTCTTTGGCCCCATAAGATGATTCTTGTGAGTAAATGCTACTCCAAAGGTTTTGAGTTGTTCTTTTGATGTTTCTGAGGTTCCTTGATAATAAAGTGTGCATCTTGTGGTCGAGGACCAACCATGCAAAAGTTTATGGTCATTTTCTGAAGAAAGAATACTAGATCTAGGATTTAGACCTCGTGGAGCCATACAAAGGCTTAAAGTTTACGACTTTATGGATTAAGACCTTATTTAGAAGTAGATCTGAGTTTTGGACGCTAAGGTCTTAAGGGATTAAGCCTTATTCATGAGGAAAGGTCACTGACTAGTACGTTAGGTGTGCTTCTGAGTACGCTACGTGTATTGGGTTTGAGCCTCGTTTCCCCTCAATGTTGGACTTGTATGCTAGGCATAATCTGGTGGTACGCACGACATACTTACCAGCTAGGCGTTTAAGCCTTGAACTAGTTTGGGCCATTGTTGGACCAAAAGTATTTTTTGGGTTTAGGTAATTGTTAGGCCTTAGGTGCTTATGGATTTGGGACTCTTCTGGGCCTTGGGCCATTTTTAGGTT